CCTGAACTATCCTAGGACAGGCTGCATCACTTTGTCATCATTTGTGTTTACCGTTCCCACAGAAAGATTTGTTTCAATTTCACAACAGGTTATGTGTCGATTATCCAGGATCAGGAGTTCCATGTGCTGAATGTTCACAGGAATGACTCCTGTTGGCTGGAAACCACCATGGCAGGGATCGTCACTGATGGATGTACAGCCATCTTTGAAATGTTTACTCCATTCAGATGCCGTACTGTGCTTGAAGGCTTCTGTAGATATTCGTGGGTTTTATGCCTTTGTTTACAAGAAACTTTATCAGTACATGCTGTTCCATGCATGCACTAACACTGTTGTCTGCCATCTTGATTAACAGTCTCTGGACTGGTCCACGACATGTGCGCCCCCTATCAGTAATGGGAGACACTTGCCACTTACTGTATATAGTACCGCCATGCTAGCATCCTTTTTTTACCTATAAAATTAAACATCCTGGTTTGACTTGAATGCCCCTCATATATAAATTATTTTATACAGGATTTATAAATCGCAAACAGTTTGCCCAGCACATTGCAACTTAATTGTAGTGCAATGCAAAGAAGGAAATTAAGAAGTTGCTGCTCATGACAGCCTACAATCCAAAAGTGATACAAAAGGTGATAACTCTGGGAGATGAGTTGATGAAGAAAGTAAACGGTCAGTTTTTAGGAAGGATAGGTTAGATTAGTTTTCAGGAATTGCCAAAAGGTGAATATAGGGGATAGACTGAAAGTTTGGGGTAGGGAATTTCAGAGGATGGGAGAAGTCCTCTATCTGAGCATGGGAGGAGGTGATGAGGGAGCTAAAGAACAGGAGGTCTTGGGAGGAGGGAAGAGGGTGGTTTGGATGATATTTTGAGATGAGTTTGGTGATGTAGCTTAGGTGTAAGTCGGGGCAGAGTTGTAGATTGTTTTGTAGGTTATTGTTAGTATTTTGAATTTTAAGCATTGGGTGAGCAGAATCCAGTGAAGGGATCAGCAAAGAGGATCGACACTGAGTGGTTGGTAAGGTGGATGAGTTTGGTAGCAGCATTTATAATAGACTGAAGGGGGGATTGCATGTTGAAAGGTAGGCTATGTATTTCTTTCTAGACAGGTTTACATCAAAGAACTGGTACATGTTAGGGCCAGTTCACAGCTTTGCAGTGCAGTGCTTTATGGCAACGTTATGTACATTAATGTGTTATGGTGCTATTGGTTTTGAATGGCACCCTAGTGCACTAAGGCATCACAGCTCATGCACATGAATTTCAGGCCATCACTTCCATGTGTTATGTTGCATTGTATTGCCAAAAATGGTGCATTTGTTTTTTGGATGTTTTAGTATGTTAGGTGTGTTCGTGTAAATAAGCAGTCTTAACCCAATGCCCCAGGAGAAAACCAGACAACCATCATTTTCAGAAGGAGGCCAGTAATGACAGACCCAATACTCCTCTTATAACATTTTCACCTTAAAGTACAACTATAGACAAAACTTTTTTTTTTTTCATTTTGGATAGAGCAAAGGAGGGTTATAACCCCTGTCAGATTTTTGTTTCCACCTCTGTCCCATTAGGGAAATTTCCCTTCACTTCCTGTCCCATAGCCAAACAGGAAGTGAGAGGAAACCATGAAAAATTTATTGGGGGACCCCCAGGTCTCCAGAACTAGTGTCCCCATTGAAAGATTTCCCCTCTATTACTTTTCTGAGGACAGCCCAAAATTTTGGATTTTCTTTTACTTTCAATGATAACGGTAAACAGAACAATTAGAGAGGGTGAATCTCTTTAATGGGTGTCACAGACAGCAATAAAACTAAATCTAAAAAAAAGTTTTGTCATTAGTTATACTTTAGCTGTGCTGCATTACCATACTTCACCAGCAGGGGGTGCAGATGAAATGCAGAGTAACTCAACTTTCACTGAGAAAAAAAACCATTCCCCTCTGGATGATCTAACTACACAGTAAGTGCAAGGATTTTAACTAGTTTTATTGCAAAGTCCTAACTTTTCTTATTCTGATGCAATAGCAGTTTGTTTGTGTCCATGTACAGAGTGTATGAGAGTGACTTTATAATGATCAATCAGCTGCTGCACCTGCAGGGCTATAATGAGAAAAATGGCAATATCTCGCCATAAATTACGTTTTTGTTGTATTGAATGCCCAAAATCTGAATATTCATGCAAATTTCTGTGAAAATCAGTGAGCCAATCACACAAGCAGGAAATTACATTTCTGAGAAGTTCTATACACCATCTGTGTACAGAACGCCTTCAGGTTGCCATATTGCATTGCATTTTACAGAAAATTACGGCACTAAAGATTGAAATGGAAAAGGCCATTTTTTAAAATAACAATCAATCACAATATAACTTGTGTTGCAATTGTATACACTCTATAGTGGGGGTCAGCAACCCCTAGATTGTGATCAGGTGACAGGTAGATCACGGTCTGGGCTTGCTGACCCGCCATCCCAGAGAATCCATCAGAGTGCAATATAGAGGGACTACTTGTGAAGTCGAAAGTGTAGTAGGGAGCAAGAGCCGCAAAAGGCGATGCCTCCTCTGTAGTGCTGGCTCCTGTCCCATGTGGAGGGATACCAACTGCACTCCACCTCTTATCCCAACTAGCGGGCTTCAAAGTGGTGCCAGCAGCAGGAAAGAAGAGATCTTCCGGTCAGTGTGAAGCAATACACTTGGCATAATAGTATAGGTCTGCTTTCACAATGATGTGCTGCGATTTACCCACACCGTGGGTGCAGCACAGTGCATCTGCAACTTAGCCATAGACTTCTATTATATCCTGCGGGTTTGGTGCACTTTCTGAAAGCGCACCAAACTTGAATGCAGACGTTTTGGTGCACTTTCGGAAAGTGCACCAAACCCACAGGATATAATAGAAGTCTACGGCTAAGCGCAGCTAACCCAGGACAGTCAGAGATGCACTGTGCTGCCCCTGTGGTGCAAGTAAACTGCAGCACATCAGTGTGAAAGCAGCCTTATTGGGGGCTTAAGACAGTAAGGGTTCATTTATATTTGCAGTTTGGGGTGGTAACACTCCATAGTTAAAGTGGAGTTCCAGCTAAAAAAAAAAAACAACAAAAAACTAGATGCTGACTTTTATAATACAGCCACTTACCTGTCCCTTGATCCAACGGTGTCCTCACCACCGGTGGTTTTACTGGCCGTCTGCTTCCGATCGCCTAGGCGATCACAGAGGAAGTGGGAAATTCGGGTACCCGCTCCCCAAAGATTCCAATCTTTAATGGGGAGCGGGGGACAAAGGCTTAAAGTGGAACTTCCACTTTTGGGTGGAGCTCTGCTTTAAGATGTTTGTACTACCCACTTTACAATGGTCAGGGTTGTACACATGTCGCAGCTGCAGAAGGAGTTATACGCCCTGTCATGGTTGGTGGGTATAGCACCTGCCAAGCATGAACCATACCCCCCAACTTTTTGAGGTGGGAACCAGGAACACCTATTAGCAAAAGTATATAGGCATTGGACACACACCCTGCCACGCCCCCTTAAAGAAGAATTATTTAAAAAAAATGATTATTTAAACCCACAAGTGCTTTTTTACCATTACTGTTCCTTTATACTGATTTTTGAACATTTTAAATGTGACAATTTAAAATTTTAAAAATTAGATGAAAGATTTAGCGCTGGGAAACACTTTCTGAAAGATAAATAGTGCATTTTATATACAACTATATAGAATAGACCAAAATGAGGGACATATGAGGAGGAAAGAGGGACTTTGTTTCAAATCAGGGACAGTCCCTCAAAATCAGGGACAGTTGGAAGCTATGCATGCAAGTGAATGAGACTGCTCTGCAAGTGCCCTGCAACCTTGTGTGGTACAGCAAACAAGGAGTTAAAGTGGGCAGTGTTATGTTGCTTTCTCACCCCGTGGACCCCACAGAAGCATGCAGTTGCGGAGCCCTTGCAGAGTGGCCCCATTTACTTGAATGGGTTGTGATTGTCAGGCGGTAACACCCACCAAAAGCAATAGGGAGGTTAAACTGCTTCACGACCGCCCTATAGCAGAACTACTGCTACAGGATGGCAGGGCTGCACAAAATCACATATATATGCGTGATTTTGTATTTCCAGGAAGGGGCACGTGCGCCCTACCTGCACTGCCATTGGCGGCTACAGTTGTCGATCACCGGGTCCTGGCCGGAGATTCCCCGCTGGCACTCGGCGATCGCCAAAGAAGACTGATGGGGGAGAGATCTGTATGTAAACAATACAGATCTCTCCTGTCAGCTCCAGCATGCTGCTTTGTATTGCTCTGCATAACACAGCCATACAAAACAGCATGCCTCCCTAATAAAATACACACAGCACATAATGTTAAACAGCACACTGTCAACCCTTTGATCGCCCCAGCTGTTAACCCCTTCCTGCCCAGTATCATTAGTACAGTGTCAGTGCTTTTTATTAGCACTGATCACTGTATTAGTGTCACTGGGGATGTCAGTGGCAGTTAGTCAGTACCCCCCCCCCCCCCCCAAGTGTCAGATGGCAACAGTCCCACTATAAGTCGCTGATCGCCGCCATTACTAGTATAATAAAAAATAAAATAAAAAAATTCCAGTATATATACCGCCATTTGTAGATGCTATAACTTTCACATAAACCAGTTCATTTACACGTATTGGGATTTTTTTTTTAGCAAAGACATGTAGCAGAATACATTTTGGCCTAAATTTATGATGAAATTTGATTTTTTTAAAATATTTTTACTAGACATGCTTAGTAGCAAAAAGTGGAAAATATTGTTTTTTTTCTCAAAATTGTCAGTCTTTTTTTGTTTATAGACCAAAAAATAAAAACCTCACAGGTGATCAAATACCACCTAAAGAAAGCTCTATTTGTGGGAAAAAAAGAACATAAATTTCATTTGGGTGCAGTGTTGCATGACCGCGCAATTGTCAGTGGAACTAACACAGCGCCATATTGCAAAAAATGGCCTGGTCAGGAAGGGGGGTAATCAATCACAGCTGATCACATGTAAATAAGGAAATGACAGTTATCGGCATTTCTCTCCTCACAAGCTGTCACGCTGACAGCTCTTGAGGAGAGGAGAGCCGGTAATCGGCATTACTCAGAAGGGACATGTACGATGATCATCAGGGCACTGATGATCAGTGTGCCCTGATGATCAGTGTAGCCCCAGCAGTGCCACCTGTCAGTGTCCATCAATACCAGCTGTCAGTGCTCATCAATGCCACCTGCCAGTGCCCATCAGTGCCACATCAATGCCACATATCAGTGCCTACCAGTGCATATCAATGCCACATATCAGTGCCCATATGAGCTGCCTTTCAGTGCCACCTATCAAAGCCAGTCAGCGCCACCCATCAGTGCCACCTAACAGTGCCAGTCAGTGCTGCCTATCAGTGCCATATATGAGCGCTGCCTTTCAGTGTCCATCAGTGATGCATGTCAATGCCCATCAGTGCCACCTACCAGTGCCTCCTCATCAGTGCAGCCTATCAGTGCCCATCACTGCAGCCTCATTAGCGCACATCAGTGAAGGAGAAAAATCACTTATTTACAAAATTTTATAACAGTAAGTAAGAAAAAAAAAAAAAAACGTTTTTTTTCATAATTTTCAGTTTTTGGTTTGTTTAGCAAAAAATAAAAAAACCCAGTGGTGATTCAATACCACCAAAAGAAAGCTCTATCTGTCTCACAAAAATGATACAAATTTAATGTGAGTACAATGTTGCATGACCGCGCAATTGTCATTCAAAGTGCAATGGCGCTGAAAGCTGAAAATTGGCCTATGCAGGAAGGGGGTATAAGTGGTCGGTAGGCAAGTGGTTAAACAGCCATTTGGTGTCAGTGAGTATCTATAGGGAATCACTGAAAGATGCACTGATAAAACTCAATAAATCACTATTTGAAAAAACTCTTTAACTGCTAGTACTGGTAAATCATACATTATGCTCAGGAGGCAGCGAGCACTGGCAGGGTACTACAAAAGAGGAGGTAAGGAGCTGCTCTCTTCAATACACTTGTATAACATGTTTATTAGTTTTAGTAAAACAAAAATTGACCTTACAATCGCATAAAGCTTTTACTATGCATTCTATTCAGTTGGCCCACAAAGCCCCATTATTTATAATAAGTTATTTCTATGTGAAACTAAAGAAAAATTATTGGTTTTGGAGACACGGAACAAACTTGATATTGAATAACATTTACAAAGCTTGTTGCTTTGGTGTTTCATGTTACAGTATCAAAGTTGTCATAAAGGTGGAGTTTCATTTAAAACAAGATATTTCCATCCAGATAGTAATCGCAACATGAAGTTTGTTTGTTTTTTTTTAATAATGATTAACTGTTTCTGAAACTTATCTGATTTTTTCAGCAAAAACCACTGTTCCATACAACAATGTCCTTTAATGAAAAGGAACAATCAGTCTGATACACATTTTATTCTGAGAAATAAATGCTGTTCATGGCCGTACAGTTCAAAAATAAACATTAGGAATGTGGACCATTTGTCTTAGTGCAGGAAATGCTGAAACAAATACAAGAAAAGTTCTCCAACAATAACAGTTATCGGAGTTTTCTAAATTTATAAATCACAATTCTTCAAAGTACTGTTTGTACCTGAGCCGCCTACAACTGCAATACAAACATATTTTGTTACTTACTGTTTAAGGCAGGGGTCTCCGAACTTTCTAAACAGAGGGCCAGTTTGCTGCCCTTCAGGGGGGCTGGACTGGGGCCATTGGGAGTAGAAAAGATCCCAACGCCAGTGGGGAAAAAAAATGCCCCGTCTTTGATGTCAATGGAAGGAATAGTGCCCCATCATTTGTGTCATTAGGAGGAATTTATGCCCCATCATTGGTGTCATTAGGCCCCATTGTTGGTGTCATTGGGAGAAATTGTGCCCCTTCATTGTCAGTGGGGGGAATTTTGCCCCGATGTTGGTATCAGTGGATGAAATAGTGCCCCAGGGGCCAGATAAAAGCAAGCAAAGGACTGCATCTGGCCCCAGGGCCACAGTTTGGAGACCACTGGTTTAAGAATCTCATGACCTTGCCCACGCTGAAGTCCATGCAGCTCTTTTGAACATACAGTTGTGGCCAAATTATTCAACCCTCCACTGAAAACAGTTGAATGTTTGGCCAGTTTGTGGTTTGTCACATTGCTTTTGATGCATTCACGTCTTCATCATCTGCTTACATTTACATTAAAGAGCGCACTTGTCCTAGGTCAGTCCATGCAGCTCTTTTAAACATACTGTATGTGGACTTTGATAGAAGAAAGATATACAGATATAAAACTTTGGTCATGGAATATTTACATAATCAACAGATGTACAGTACTGGCAACTCAATCCTTACAATTAGGGCTAGTTCACACTAGATGCAGTCCAATGCCTTTTTTCCTGCATCAAAAACGCATGCACAGTGTTTTCCATGTATTCCAATGGCCCTGGTTCACACCAGTGCAGTCAGTTCCAGTCAGTTTCCAGGTGCAGAAAAAAAAAAAGAACATGCTGCATTTTTTCTGCACAGAACTATACTTGAACATAGCAAACGGCATCAAACCTGCACTGGAATGGAATGTGATGTGAACTGTAAGCAAAAACGTTTCCGGAATGCATCCGTAGTGCATTTTTGTGGTGTAAACTGGCCCTTAGGGCCGTCTCAATAGGAATCAGAATCACGGTCAGCTACCGTATATCTACTGTACAATCATAAATATGGATGGAACAAGTCTCTTGCTCATTAACTGGCTAATAGCCTTGTTGGAATGCCGGGATAGACATCAGAGGTATCCATAACTTCAAGAGGGAAGTCTTCAAACATTATAAGACAGAGTTAAAGTGGAACTTCACTCTGTCAATCAACAGTGACTAGTTATAATCCTTATGCTGCTAGCATTAGTAAATAGATAGGGCAGTATATCATATGTACTTGTTTTAAACTTTTTTTTTTTTTTTTTTTTTTACATTCTTTCAGTTACTTCCTGCTTTTAATGGCTATTCAAATTATGTCATACATCCCAGGAGTCTTCAGGAGGGGAGGAGGGTTTTTCTCAGCTAAGCACGCCTTACTGCCTGCATGCCTGAGCTAAAGGTAGATGGATTCCAGAAAGTAAACGCTACATGAATCATCTGCCCATCTGGGTAAGTTTGCTTTTAATATTAAAGTATAACTAAAGGCAAAACTTTTTTTTTTCAGTTTTGGATGGATTTCTATTGCTGTCTGTACCCCCATTATGGACCTTCACCCTCTCTATTTGTCCTGTTTACCATTCCTCCTGTATTGGATTGGATTGTGACTGTACTGCCTGCCCTCAAGTTGTAAAGCACTACGCAAACTGTTGGCACTATATAAATCCTGTATAATAATAATAATAATTGAAAGTGAAAGTAAAAGATAAATCACACATTTTGGATTGTCCCCAGAAAAATAATAGAGGGGAAATCTTCCATTGGGGACACTAGTTCTGGAGTCATGGGGGTCCCCAACGAATTCCCCTAATTTGCAGAGATTTCCTCTCACTTCCTGTTTGGCTATGGGACAGGAAGCGAAGGGAAATCTATGCAATAGACCCTCCCTTGCTCTATCCAAAATGAAAACAAAAGTTTTGATTATAGTTCTACTTTAAAAATGAATTAAATGGCGTTTTTGGTTTGTGGTGCTCAGCTATAGTGTAGTTACATTTTAAATATTACAGAAAGTGAAAAAAAGGACATTTTAAGCTTCTGTGTTCTTCGATGTTACCATGTTATGATGCCCAATGGAGCATTGGTCTCCACCATCTCTTCATCATCTGCTAAATTGTAGGGAGGCAATAATATTATACTTGGGTGTACAGTGCATCCTGAACGTATTCACAGCGCTTAACTTTTGCCACATTTTATGTTACAGCCTTATTCCAAAATGGATTAAATTAATTTTTTTCCTCAACATTCTACAAACAATACCCCATAATGAATAAATAATATATAAACAGTTCAAATCAACCTCCTCACCATATAAACAAAATTATGATATAAATTAAAAAATTGTGATATACTAAATAATGATAATTGTGTCCAAAAAGACATGTAAATTGCGTGCAGAATAAAATAAAAGTTCTTTCTTCCCATCAAGTATATTCAAAATGATCTTCTCCCAAAGAAATGTGCTTCCACCATTCACCAGTGTAAAATCAACATCAACCGCACTCACCAGATGTTAGTGAGTGTTGCGCCTTTTAGGATTTTAGGGATCCTACACCCTCTCTATATCTTCCAGAGCTCCTTTCACCTTGTATGGTTTGATGTAATCCTTCCACTTACTCCTAATAGAAGCTCCATAAAGGTGCATAACAGGGCATTCTCAAGACCGGTCTTGAGAACGCCCTGTGGGAGGGGCGAAACGCGTCAACGCACTTCCGGTCTGCCGTCCTTACCTCCTGCGTCACTTCCGGTGGGTGGAATGCATGCTGTGCGGTGCGTTCCAGGCGGACATCTTTGTTGTTTGAGCTGTGTCTGTTATCCTCTGCAAACTAAAAGGCTGTGAGGTCTCTGGTCTGTGGATTGGATTGTGGTCCTACAGATCTGTGTGAGCCAATGGAGGCAATAAATCAATGCTTTTAACTTTTTCTGAACATGTGAGAGGCCTGGTATTATTTAATACTGTATATGGTATTAGCAATATCACACTATGGTATTTTTCTTTTATGCACCTTTATGGAGCTTCTTTTAGGAGTAAGTGGAAGGATTACATCAAACCATAAAAGGTGAAAGGCGCTCTGGAAGATATAGAGGGGGTGTAGGATCCCTAAAATCCTAAAAGGCGCAACACTCACTAACATCTGGTGAGTGCGGTTGATGTTGATTTTACACTGGTGAATGGTGGAAGCACATTTCTTTGGGAGAAGATCATTTTGAATTTATTTGATGGGAAGAAAGAACTTTTATTTTATTCTGCACGCAATTTATGTCTTTTTGGACACTATTATCATTATTTAGTATATTACAATTTTTTAATTTATATAATAATTTTGTTTATATGGTGAGGAGGTTGATTTGCGCTGTTTGTATATTATTTTATTTTTAATTGGTGTATTGCACTGGTGCACAGCAGCATACTTTTACCTCCAGTATTTATTGAAAGGTATTCCTGTGCACTGGGATGTGAGAGAGATATAAATACCCCCAAATGACAATGTGAAAGAAGTTAGTTTTTAAATCTTTGCAATTTATTAATAATTAAAAAAAAAAAACAAAACATGTACATAAGTATTCACAGTCTTTACTCAATACTTTGTTGAAGCCCCTTTAGCACCAATTACAGACTCAAGTCGTTTTGAGTATGATACTACAAGCTTGGCACACCTATTTTTGGGCAATTTCTCTCATTCTTCCTTGCATTACCTCTTAAGCTCTATCAGGTTGGATAGGGAGTGTCGGTGCACAGCCATTTCCAGATCTCTCCAGAGATGTTCAATCGGGTTCAAGTCTGAGCTCTAGCTGGGCCACTCCAGGACATTCACAGAGTTAGCCCGTAGCCACTCCTTTGTTATGTGGGCTGTGCGCTTAGGGTCATCCTGTTGAAAGATGAACCGTCACCCCAGTCTAAGGTCCAGAGCGCACTGGAACAGGTTTTCATCAAGGTTGTCTCTGTACATTGCTGCATTCATCTTTCCTTCGATCCTTACTAGTCTCCCAGTTCCTGCCGCTGAAAAACATCCCCACAGCATGATGCTGCTATCACCATGCTTCACTGTAGGGATGGTATTGGCCAGGTGGTGAGCGGTGCCTGAATTCCTCCAGACATGATGCTTGGCATTCAGGCCAAAGAGTTCAATCTTTGTTTCATCAGCCCAGAGAGTTTTGTTTCTCATGGTCTGAGAGTCCCCCAGGTTGCCTTTTGGCATACTCCAAGTAGGCTGCCATTTGCCTGTTACTGAGGAGTGGTTTTGTCTGGCCACTCTACTATACTATTGGCCTGATTGGTACAGTGCTGCAGAGATGGTTGTTCTGAAAGGTTCTCCTCTCTCCACAGAGAAATGCTGGAGCTCTTTCAGAGTGACCATCAGGGGCTTGGTTACCTCCCTGGCTAAGGCCCTTCTCCCTCGATCGCTCATTTTGGCCGGGCAGCCCACTCTAGGAAGATTCCTGGTGGTTCCAATCTTCTTCCATTTACGGATGGTGCTGTGCTAGTTGGGACCTTCAATGCTGCAGAAATTTTTCTGTACCCTTCCCCAGATTTGTGCCTTGATACAATCATGTCTCGGAGGTCTACAGTCAATTCCTTGGACTTCATTGCTTGGTTTGTGCTCTGACATGCACTGTTAGCTGTGGGACCTTATATAGACAGGTCTATGCCTTTCCTAATCATGTCCAATCAACTGAATTTTCCACAGGTGGACTCCAATCAAGTTGTGGAAACATCTCAAGGATGATCAGAGGGAACAGAATGCACCAGAGCTCAATTTTGAGTGTCATGGCAAAGGCTGTAAATACTTATGTACATGTGTTTTTTTTTTTTTCGGTTTTTATTTTTAATAAATTGCAAAGGTTTCAAACCGAACTTCTTTCACGTTGTCATTCTGGGGTATTTTTTGTAGAATGTTGAGGAAAAAAAATGAATTTAATCCATTTTGGAGTAAGGCTGTAACATAACAAAATGTGGCAAAAGTTAAGTGGTGTGAATACTTTCTGGATGCACTGTATCTAATACAAGATTCCTACATTTGCTCCAAATTTTAATTAAAGCCAGGATCTGCATTTCTTTCTCATTGCACAGTGTAGGGTTCTTCATTGAGTGTCCACAGTTCTGCCTGGTAATATGAACACTTGCCAATGGCAGTCCATCGGTGGACTCCTCTTAAAAAAAACCATCATGGCATTATGCAGCAACGAGACTGCTTGACAGTGGAGCTACACTGCCACCAAAGATTGGCACTGGAAAGGGTCGTATGGCTGTTGATTCATATTAGAAAAATAAGGGTTTGAGGGCTTTAAAAAAAAAATGGTATATGGGTGGTAGGGGTGAGTGAATTTTTTTTTTGCCCAGTAATGAGCTTTCAGAAAATCAGTTCTAAATTAAACTTGCCCCCCCCCCCCCCAACCATTTATCTGTCAGTGGAAGAGGTAGATATGATCCCTTCTCATTATTTTTTTTTTCTCAGTATTGCCTGCTACCTGTGTGATGGTGCTTTCAATGTTTATGTTTTTTTTTTTTTCCTGCTCTTTTTTTCCTTTCTGTGAGAAAAAAACTAGTAATGATGTCTAAGAGGTGTCATTTTTGGCCTAAGAACAGGAAGAGTTAAAGGGAGCTTACCTAGCCATCAACAGCCATTTAAAGTTCACGGCACCATTGAAAACCATTTCAATTTTGCCTTTTCCAATGCATTTAGCCAAACATGGTACAATTTTGCTGAAATCTCTAGATTTTTGCAAAAATTCAGGTAAAACTCTCAATTTTGCTTATCCCTGGATATTAAAAAGGGTAGGGCGGGTTTAGAATCTCAGCCAGGTGATCATAACACTTCCATACACTAAAACCCAAAACAGTTTTTTGCAGTAGTTGGATTTTAACAAGTGCCACCTGATGCAGGTAAGTCATATTGCTCTTGTATGCTTTAATCCAACCACCAGGAGACCCTCACAGAAATAGCATCAGAAGAATGATACTCTCTGTAATATGTCACTTCTACTTCACAATATACTATGACATTTGCAACTTTTCAGACTCGGCAGAAAAAAAGGCACAAACTTCTCATAGTGCAGACTTGTTTATTAAAATGCATTCAATGTTAAAAACAATCAAACTCACATGTAACTGTAGCACCCTCCTAGTGTTACCATATTTAACTATAGGATTCTTAAGGACCTGTCTAGATAATACCCATATGAGTGATTGTACAAGCCAAATTACAATCTAGCCCCTACTTTATTAATTAATCTGTAATTAGCCATCTGCCACTTTTGCACCCTTCTCTCCTTACAATTTATAGGATAACTGATGTGTGTCCTGTACATGTACAGTTGTATTCAAAATAATAGCAGTCAGACATCACTAACCTGATCAATCACTGTTTTTGGTAGAAATTATATTTCTATATGGCAAATAATTTACTAGCAGGTGTAGTAGAGTAATAGAAATCCAACAGACCCAAAAGTCATGACATGCATGCTGCTTATTCTGTGTAATTGAATCACTAATTGAAAGGGGCATGTTCAAAATAATAGCAGTGTGGAGTTCTATTAGTGAGGTCATTCATTCTTTGCAATTATTGCCCTTATTTAAAGAAGGAAGGCAGCAAATGTTGTACATGCTGGTTACAGTGCATTTCTCTCTGAAATTCTGAGTTAAATGGGTCGTTCCAGACATTGTTCAGAAGAACAGCGTACCTTGATTAAAAAGTTGATTGGAGAGGGGAAAACATATAAAGAAGTGCAGAAAATGATAGGCTGCTTAGCTAAAATGATCGCAAATGCTTTAAAATGGCAACCAAAACCTGAAAGACGTGGAAGAAACCGTAAAACTACAATTCGAATGGATAGAAGAAAGGCCAAAATTGCAAGGACTCAGCCAACAATCAGCTCCAGGAAGATCAAAGAAGGTGTAAAGTTACCTGTGAGTACTGTTACAATTCGAAGACGCCTATGTGAAGCCAAGCTATCTGCAAGAAGCCCCCGCAAAGTCCCACTGTTGAAAAAAAGACGTGCTGAAGAGGTTACATTTTGCCAAAGAGCACATTGACTGGCCTAAAGAGAAATGGCGCAACATTTTGTGGACTGATGAAAGTAAGATTGTTCTTTTTGGGTCTAGTGGTCGGAGACAGTTTGTCAGACGACCCCCAAACACTGAATTCAAGCCACAGTACACTGTGAAGACAGTGAAGCATGGTGGTGCAAGCATCATGATATGGGGATGTTTCTCATACTACGGTGTTGGGCCTATTTATCGCATACCAGGGATCATGGATCAGTTTGAATACATCAGAATACTTGAAGAGGTCATGCTGCCTTATGCTGAAGAGGAAATGCCCTTGAAATGGGTGTTCCAGCAAGACAACGACTCCAAACACACCAGTAAACATGCAACATCTTGGTTCCAGACCAACAAGATTGACGTTATGGAGTGGCCAGCCCAATCCCCGGATCTTAATCCAATAGAAAACTTGTGGGGTGACATCAAAAATGCAGTTTCTGAGGCAAAACCAAGAAATAGAAAAGAACTGTGGAATGTAGTCCAATCATCCTGGGCTGGAATACCTGTTCACAGGTGTCAGAAGTTGGTTGACTCCATGCAACACAGATGTACAGCAGTTCTCAGAAACAGTGCTTATACAACTAAATATTCATTAAGTGATTCAAAGGAAAGCAAAATCTTTAAACATTTTTCAGTTTATATAGTGAATGTTTGAGTTTGTAAAGAATACAAACACTGCTATTTTTTTGAACAGTCTAATATTCACTTTTCTTCAATTTTTTTAGAGGAACAACACAAATTTGATATATTTTTCTTCATGTTTTGATTTGGAATAGAATGTGTAGTGTTCCCAATGCATTTGCGTGTATGGAAATATAAGCTATTAGAAGGATTTTGAGCTTTATTCACTTTTTTGAACACAACTGTATTATGTTTTTTAGAATTTTAGCAACACTATATCAAAGTAAGGAACCATATTAGCCTATGCCATTGGAGTACCTATGTGATGATGTGATGTGATGGGAGTTTTGAGGAGAGGGATTCCTTTTTCCCTCCTCTATTTTTTTTAATTAAATGTGAGGGTTGGGTGAGGGTTTTGAGTGTTGCATAGCAAACACTATATCCTATTTATGATTATGTTTGTGTTTTTGGTTTTGATGTGTACTAACCACTTACTTACTGGGCAATTTCACCCCCTTCCTGCCAAGGCCAATTTTCAGCTTTCAGTGTTGTCATACTTTGAATGACAATTGCATGGTCATGCAACACTGTACCCAAACCAAATTTTTACCATTTTATTTAGACAGATAGAGCTTTCTTTTAGTGGTATTTAATCACCTCTGGGGTTTTTTATTTTTGCTAAACAATCTAAAAAAGACAGAAAAAAAGTTTTTCTTAGTTTCTGTTATAAACATTTGTAAATAAGTCATTTTTCTTCTTCACTTATGTGTGCTGATGAGGCAGCACTGATGGGCACTGATAGGCAGCACTGATGGGCATTGATAGGTGGCACTGATGGGCACTGTTATGTGGCACTGATGAGGTGGCACGGATAGGCAGCACTGATGGGCACTGACAGGCAGCACTGATGAGCTGGCACTGATATGCAACAATGATGGATACTGATAGGTGGCACTGATGGGCAGCACTGGTGGGCTCTGATGGGTGGCATTGACTGGTGGAACTGCTGGGCACTGACTGGCGGCACTGCTGAGCACTGATGGGTGGCACTGCTGGGCAGCACTGCTGGGCACTGGTGGGTGGCACTACTAGCACTGATGGGTACAGGTGGGTGGCACTGCTAGGCACAGGTGGGTAGCACTGGTGGGTGGCACTGCTGGGCACTGATCATCAGGACACTGATCATCAGTGCCCTGATAATCGGTGCCAATCTGTCCTCTGACAATTGCCGGTTATTGGCAGTACTTTCCTCACGGGTGCAGCCGATAACCGGCAACTGCATTTACCGGTGATCTGCTGTGTCATTGGACAGAGCTGATCACATGGTAAAAGGCCACTGTGATTGGCCTTTTACCACATCACGTACGATGATCAGCTGTGTCCGTAGGACACAGCAATCACGGAGATCGCCAGGTGCACACCTCCGGGGGCTCGCGGGAGGGCACGTTCTGGGAGGACATCATATGATTCCCTCCCAGAACTGGCCGGCCGTGGTGAAGCCATCATTCGGCTATCTGCGGTCGGCAAGTGGTTAATGTGCACCACTCAAACCGACTCAAAATTGTTCCAGGTGTGAGACAGGAAGCCTGTGGTCTCGGTGTACTGGGGGTGTGTCCCGCATTACTATAACTATTCTTTATGTACTGACTTCCAGTCGAGCAGGACCTGCAGTAGTATGAACAGTGTGCACATGTAGCACAGCCAGGGATTGGTGGGCAAGCCAGCGGGGTTTGCAGCCGCAATGAAAGAGAGTGTGCAGGTGTCAACTTCAACCTGTGATGTTGGGGAGGGGCCGATATGCGTTTCAGGGGCTCCGCCCCTTTTAAAAACAACCCGTTCATAGGGAAACAGCTGGCATTTATACAGTGCCAACTGGGAAAAAGGTGCCAATTGGAATTACTGCATGAACACCCACAATGGTGTTTAATAAACCTGAATTATGCACTGCTGCGGGTGCTCATGCAGTAGTTCCAATTGGTCCTGCCCCTTGCCACCTTTTTCCCAGTTGACACTCTATAAATGCTGGCTGTTTCCTTATGAACGGGTTGTTTTTTAAAAGGGACGAAGCCCCCGAAATGCATATCGGCCCGCCCATCCCTGACATCACAGATTGGACTTGAGAGCTGCACTCTCTCTCATTGCAGCCGTACCCCCATCGGCTTGTTTGCCAATCCCTGACTATGCTAGATGTTCACACTGCTGCAGGTCCTGCTTGGCTGCACACATTTCTTATCCATCTGATGCCGGCATTCTTGCCTTGGCTCCTGTATGCTGTTAATCAAGATTTTAGAATGTAAGTGTATGTTTAATTGGTATTTGCGGTTTAATTAACTTCTGAACCTTGCACCTTGTACGTAACCCATCCTTGAATCCTACACTCTGTATGAAACACACACCTGAACCTTGCACTCTGTACATAACGCATTCCTGAACTTGCACTCTGTACGTAACACACTCCTGAATCCTGCACTCTGTACATTCCTGAATCCTTCCACACTTTGTATAATGAACTCTTCCATATTATGTGCAAAACCATTTGTAATAGAAGCTTTTTATTTTTTTTTTTTAAATGATTGTGCTGGGCTTTGTGTCCTTGAGACTCTTGCTTACGGCACTGCAATCAAAGCATATTTTATAGGTATAAGGAAACCCGGGTTTTGTTTAACCGTGCCCCTTAGGCCGCTACTATTGTCAAGCATTTGGCCACACCCATTTTTTCTACGGCACGGTACGCACACCGCAGGTCACTTTCTCACTCAAGTGTCCCTCATTCTGAAGTTCAAAAGTTGGGAGGTATGAGCGCATGCAGTACATACAGTGCTTAGAGCTGCTGCACTATTCAAGGAAATACACTATATTGCCAAAAGTATTGGGAACACCCCTCCAAATCATTGGATTCAGATGTCCCAATTACCTCCATGGCCACAGGTGTACAAAATCAAGCACTGAGGCATGTAGACTGCTTCCACAAACATTTGTGAAAGAATGGGTCACTCTCAGGAGCTCAGTAAATTGAAGCATGGTACCGTGATAGGTTGTCATTTGTGCAATAAGTCCATCTGTGAAATTTCCTTGCTACTAAATATTCCACGCTCAACTGTCAGTGGTATTGTAACAAAGTGGAAGCAACTGGGAACAACAGCAACTCAGCCATGAAGTGGTAGGCCATGTAAAATGACAGAGCGGGGTCAGTGCATGCTAAAGTACACAGTACGCAGAAGTCACCAACTGTCTGCAGAGTCAATAGCTAAAGACCTCCAAACATAGTTACATAGTTTGGCTGAAAAAAGACAAAAGTCCATCCAGTTCAACCATTAAAAAAAAAAAAAGTTATAATCCTACACCCACAGTTGATCCTGAGGACGGCAAAAAAAACCCAGCAAAGCATGATCCAAGTTGCTCCTGCAGGGGAAAAAATGCCTTCCTGATCCCCCGGGAGCCAGTCGGATATTCCCTGGATCAACGTTACCTATAAATATTAGTATCCAGTTATATTCTGTGTATCCAAGAAAGAATCCAGGCCTTTTTTTAAAGCAATCCACTGAGCTGGCCAGAACCAACTCTTCAGGGAGTCTATTCCACATTTTCACAACTCTCACTGTGAAGAACCCTTTCTGTGTTTGGAGATTAAATTTCTCTTCCTCCAGACATAAGAGTGCCCCCTTGTCCTCTGTGATGACCTCAGTGTGAATAACTCTACACAGAGTTCACTATATGAAATACTGATGAGAGAGCATAAATTCAGTTTCTCTAATCTTTCCTCATAGCTGAGCTCCTCCATGCCTCTTATCAGTTTGGTTGCCCTTCTCTGTACTTTCTCCAGTTTCCCAATGTTCTTTTTGTGAATTGGTGCCCAAAACTGAACTGCATATTCCAGATGAGGTATTACTAATGATTTGTACAGGGTTAAAATTATATCTCTCTCTCTCTCTGGAGTCTATACCTCTTTTAATACAAGAGAGGATTTTGCTCACTTTAGAAACCGCAGCTTGGCATTGCATGCCATTATTCATCTTGTGATCTACCAGAACTTCCAGATCCTTCTCCACCATTGATTCCCCCAGTTGTACCCCCCTAATATGTATGATACATGCATATTCTTAGCCCCCTAGTGCATAACCTTACATTTATCAACATTAAACCTCATTTGCCACATAGTTGCCCAATTAAACAGTGCATTGAGGTTGGCTTGTAAATTGAAGACATCCTGTAAGGACGTTATTCCACTGCACAGCTTGGTGTCATCTGCAAAGACTGAAATGGTATTTTTAATCCCAGACCCTATATTGTTTATAAATATATTAAAAAGTAAGTGTCCCAACACTGAACCTTGGGGTACACCACTAACAACCCTAGACCATTCAGATTATGAATCCTTAACCCACTGCTCTCTGAATACGATCTTTTAGCCAGTTTTTCTATCCATTTACATACGGATTTTTCCAAGTCTGTAGACTTTACCTTACACATTAGCTGTGTGTGGGGAACTGTGTCAAACGCTTTTGCAAAATCCAAGTATACCACGTCCACCGCCACCCCTCTGTCCAAGGTTTTGCTCAACCCCTCATGAAACAAAATCAGATTTGTTTGACAACTTCTGTCTTTCATGAATCCATGCTGTCTGTTGCTTAAAATATTTTTTTCCTGCAAGAACTTATCTATGTGGTCTTTTATTAAACTCTCCAATATCTTTCCAACTGTAGAAGTTAAACTAGCAAGTCTATAATTACTTGGTAAAGATTTTGACCCCTTTTTAAATATTGGCACCACATTGGCCTTACGCCAATCCAGTGGTACTATGCCAGTCATTAAAGAGTCCGTAAAAATTAGAAACAATGGCTTTGAAATGACAGAGCTCAATTCTTTAAGGACCCGTGGGTGTATGCCATCCAGTCCAGGTGCTTTATTCACATTTATTCTGTCTAAATATTTTTGGATCATATCAATTGTGAGCCGCCGTGTGTCCTTCACATTAGCACAACAACAGTGCGTAGAGAGCTTCATGGAATGGGTTTTTATGGCCGAGCAGCTGCATCCAAGCCTTACATCACCAAGTTCAATGCAAAGCGTCACATGCAGTGGTGCAAAGTACGCCGCCACTGGACTCTAGAGCAGTGGAGATGTGTTCTTTGGATTGAAAAATCGCACTTCTTTGTCTGGCAATCCGATGGACGTGTCTGGGTTTTGCTGTTGCCAGGAGAATGGTACTTGCCTGACTGCATTGTGCCAAGTGTAAAGTTTGGTGGAGGGGAGAATATGGTGCAGGGTTGTTTTTCAGGGGTTGGGCTTGTCCCCTTAGTTTCAGTGAAGGGAACTCTTCAGGCATCAGCATACCAAGACATTTTGGACAATTTGATGCTCTCAACTTTGTGATAACAGTTTGGGGATGGCCTCTTCCTATTCCAACTTGACACCAGTGCACAAAGCAAGGTCCATTAAGACATGGATGAGCGAGTTTGGGGTGGAGGAACTTGATTGGCCTGCACAGAATCCTGACCTCAACCCAACAGAAAACCGACATCAGCACCTGACCTCACAAATGCACTTCTGGAAAAATGGTCAAACATTTCCATAGACACTCTTAAACCTTGTGGACAGCCTTCCCTGGAGAGTTGAAGCTGTTCTAGCTGCAAAGGGTGGGCCAACTCAATATTGAACCCTACGGACTAAAACTTAGATGCCAATAAAGTTCATGGGTGTGTAAAGGCAGGCGTCCCAATACTTTTTGCAATATAGTGTAGTTTGTTTGGACCAGCTATTTAAAGTGAAAGAAAACATGGAAATCAGATTTAGGAGCTGGCACTATTTGAATTGCGCATTCTCTCTCTGTACCTCTACCTCTGATGAAGTCTTTACGACGAAAGGCATTGGGCCATTTGATCTGGATATTGAGTCAGAATATATCACACACCAGATTGCTTGGATAAAAGCCTCTTAGTTCAAACATGTGAGTTTGATTTTTGTCTGAACTGAGAAGTTTTTCTATCTTGTTTTTTGAGTCTGAAAAGTGGCGAATGTCATACTATTTCTGTAGCACTACCCCCGCTGACGTTGCTGGTAATTCGGGTCCTCTGCTTTGGTCCAGCCAAATGTTAGACCTCACTATCACTGATACACCCAGCATACTTTTCTGTAAGCCCCAGCAGGCACACAAAAATTATACTCACAACTCTTTAAAAGATAAACAGACTGTATTAGCAAGTTAAAGTAATAAAAGTATAACATTGTATATTGGCACATGAATGTCAATCAGTTTGAACACAATAATGATTGTATGACTGA